TTTTATAATAAAAAAATAAGGAATTTAAATTATTTTTTATTTTAAAAATGGGTAAAAAATAACTAAAAAAAATTAATTTACTTTAATAGAACCTCAGATCTTATTAAAAAAATTTTCAAAAAAACATAAAAAAGATATCTAATAAAATTATATTAAAAGTCGAAAGACGCATTTTTTTGGATAATAAACTTTTTAATAAATTAATAAAGCTATACGTAAAGAAATTTGCATAGTTAGTTTTATTTTTTCTGATAAATTTAGAAAAAAATATTAATTGGAACACTAGGTATCTTATTCTTTTCAATATTTTTTCGTGAACCTCCACGTATTATCAAATAGTCAACACTAAAAAAAACCTTTATAGAAAATAAAAAATTTAATGATGAATATTTCTTTCTTATGCCAAAAAATTCTGGAAAAGATACTGGTATGGTGACGGGGTTAGGCACACTATTAAGTCCATTAAATTCAGAATACGGTAAAGTAGCTCCCGGTTGGGGAACAACGGTTTTAATGGCTGTATTTATGGCACTTTTTGCGGTTTTTCTAGTAATTATTTTAGAAATTTATAATAGTGATGTTTTAATCGATGATATTGCAATGAGTTGGGAATCATTAGCACAATAAAAGATTTATTTATAGAATTTGCGAATGCTTAGTTCGAAAAATAAACGCCCAGTTAGTGGTAGCCTATAAAACAAAATTTTTAAAATTAAATGTTAACGCTTAAAATTTTTGTTTACATTGTTGTAACTTTCTTTGTTTCATTATTTATTTTTGGATTTCTTTCAAATGACCCTGGACGTAATCCTGGGCAAGGAAACTAATTCAAAAGTGAGTTTACGAGTTTATTAAACTCGTAAACTCACTTTTGAATTAGTTTCCTTTTATTTTGTTTTTGTTTATCATTATTCATGATCGGTTTCGCGGGATAGAGCAGTTTGGTAGCTCGCAAGGCTCATAATCTTGAGGTCGTAGGTTCGAATCCTACTCCCGCTATAAATTTTTTTTGATTTGAATCGTTGTTTATGGAAAATTCTGCTTTTTTTCTAACTATTTTATTATGGTGTTTACTATTAAGCATTACTGGCTATTCTATTTATATAGGTTTCGGACCTCCATCAGAAAAACTCCGTGATCCGTTTGAAGAGCATGAAGATTAATTTCTGAAAAATTTTGAATTTGCGAATAATCGTTTTTGTAAATTCTAGTGAAAATTTTTCAGGAACTTTGCTATAATAACCGTAAAAATGGAGTTTTTTCTATTTTTATTCATTTTTTTCTGTAAATTACAGAAAATATTAATTTAGGTTAATTTTTCTATTTATATAATAACGAATGGCATATTACTTATGGAAATTATAATTTCAAAATTACCAGAAGCTTACGCACCTTTTGATCCACTTGTAGATGTTTTACCTGTAATTCCTGTATTATTTCTTCTTTTAGCTTTTGTATGGCAAGCTTCAGTAAGTTTCCGTTAGGCTATTTTTCAAATAATCCCCAAATTCGGGTGTTTAATATTACTTATAAAAGAATTCGATAATAATTTTGATAATAAATTTATTTTAATTTTTAATACTTTTTCAATGAATCTTGAAGTTATTTTTCAATTATTAGCTCTTCTTGTAGTTTTAGCTGCGGGTCCTTTAGTTATTGTTCTATTGGCAAGTCGTGATGGAAATTTATAATGTTTTTTAATATCTTCCAAAAATTTTTTTTTAATTTTTAAAGTAAATTTGGTCATCTATAAAAAAAGCTTATGTCAATATCCGAAAGTCAAATTTTTATAGCTATTTTTTTAGCATTAATCAATGGATTCCTTGCATTAAGATTAGGCAGTACGTTATACAATAGTTAATTTTTTATATAAGAAGTCTTTTTACTATGATAGGACTTCTTATATAAAAAATTAACTATTCCAGCATGTTTTGGTATGTAGCAACGGTTGAAGGCGAAATTTTATTCAAATACCGAAAAATCCAATATTTAAATATCGTGTCTAAGATTACTGGAAAAGTAGAAACAAATAAAAAGATAAAATCTTTATCCGCCGAAAAGCCAAAATGAGAAAGAAAATTTTCCATAAATAATTCCCAACCTTTTGAGGAATGAAATCCTACTAATAGGTCTGTTCCTAAAATAAGAAAAAAGGATTTAGTAGTGTCATTCAGACCATAAATAGATTCTATCAAAAAAGATTTTAAAATAATTAATTGAGGAGTTGATAAAAATAAAAGTTTTAAAAATACAAAAAAAGTAAGACAATCGCTGATAATATTTGAGCCTAAAAATAGCCAATCTTGATTTCTCTTTTCAGCTAATTTGATTAAAAAAGTTTTATAATTTTCTGAAGTACGGAAATGATTCTTTGTTATAGGATTAAAATTTTCCGAAGATTGTTTTTTTGTAGAATTTTTTAAATTATCCAAATTCGAATGAAAGTTGAGTAATTCATCAAAGAAAAATTGTTCATCAAAATTATTTAATTGATGATAAATTTTTTCTTGCTCTAAAGAATTCATGGTCATCCGTATAGGTATTTGATTCCATTCATATTCAAAAATTGGATAAATAATCGTTTTTTGAACTAAAAAATGAAATAAATACGGAAAAAAAATTAAATTAATGAAACATTTTAAAGATGCTATTGTTTGATACCGAGAGATTTGAAATTCGTACAAAACGAAGCTTGGTGCTACCCCTTTCGCGTTATTTGTTTCAAATAACTGTTTTAAAAAACGATTAAATGTGCGGATAATAGATCTTGGAATAAGACCTATTTTTTCAAAAGCACGTGATGAAAAATTTTTAGGTAATTTTTGCTTTTTCATTTTTTTTTTTTTTTTTTAACGTATTGTTTTGTAATAAAGATCACAAAACAATACGTTATTGATTATTGGACAGCTTGATAGCGAGCTCGAGCTCTTTTATAGATAAAATTTGTTTCTACTTTTTGTTTAGCACTAGTAGCTTGTTCAAAATTTTGTTTAGCTGTAATAAAATTTTTCTCTGCCTCAGCTTTATCTATAGTTTTTTCAGATTCTGCTTCATTTACCAAAACTGTAACTTGATTTTGTTTGACTAATGCAAACCCCCCCATTAATACTATAGGGTTCCATTCTTTCTTATTTCGAATTAACATAACGCCAATATCTAATGCAGTAATTATTGGAGCATGATTTGATAATATGCCCATTTGACCCGTATTTGTTGGTAAAATGATTTCTTCTACTTGCTCATTTAAAAAAATTCGATCTGGTGTAATTATACAGACTTTTAATATCATAATAAATTCTATTATATTTTTAATAGATGATTTTTTAAATAGGGCTTATAAAGATCCTATTCTTTTAACGAACTTGCTTTTTCAATTGCTTCGTCTATAGTCCCAACTAAATAAAAAGCTTGTTCTGGTAAATCATCAAGTTTACCTGTTAAAATTAAATTAAAACCACGAATGGTTTCCGCTAAACTTACATATTTTCCAGGCGAACCTGTAAAAACTTCTGCAACAAAAAAGGGCTGAGATAAAAAACGTTCAATTTTTCTAGCACGTGCAACAATTAAACGATCCTCTTCTGATAATTCATCTAAACCTAAAATAGCAATAATATCTTGTAATTCTTTGTAGCGTTGTAAAGTTTGTTTAACATTTTGAGCACAAGCATAATGCTCTTCGCCAACAATCCAAGGTTGTAGCATAGTCGATGTAGAATCTAAAGGATCTACAGCTGGGTAAATACCTTTCGAAGCTAAACCTCGAGATAATACAGTTGTGGCATCTAAGTGAGCAAAAGTTGTTGCGGGTGCGGGATCTGTTAAATCATCGGCAGGAACATAAATCGCTTGTATAGAAGTAATTGACCCGTCTTTTGTTGAAGTAATACGTTCTTGTAAACCCCCCATTTCTGAAGCTAAAGTTGGTTGATAACCTACAGCAGAAGGCATTCGACCTAATAAAGCGGAAACTTCTGATCCAGCTTGTACAAAACGAAAAATATTATCTATAAATAATAGCACATCTTGTTTATTGATATCACGAAAATATTCGGCCATCGTTAAAGCAGTTAATCCAACTCGCATTCGCGCACCTGGTGGTTCATTCATTTGACCATATACTAAAGCAACTTTAGATTCACTTAATTGATCTTCATTAATTACTTTAGATTCTTTCATTTCCATATAAAGATCATTTCCTTCGCGAGTTCGTTCACCAACTCCACCAAAAACCGAAACACCCCCATGAGCTTTTGCAATATTATTGATTAATTCCATGATTAATACAGTTTTACCAACTCCTGCACCACCAAATAAGCCAATTTTACCGCCTCGTCGATAAGGTGCTAATAAGTCAACCACTTTAATACCTGTTTCAAAAATGGATAATTTAGTATCTAAATCCACAAAAGCAGGCGCTGATCTATGTATTTGCAAACCGGTTTCTGTCTCAACAGGACCTAAATTATCTACAGTTTCTCCAAGTACATTAAAAATACGACCAAGCGTGGACTCCCCTACTGGAACTGTTAATGGGTTTCCCGTATCAACGACTTCCATACCGCGCATCAATCCATCTGTGGCACTCATAGAAACCGCTCGTACACAATGGTCTCCTAATAATTGTTGAACTTCGCAAGTAACACAAACATCCTCACCTGAACCATTTTTTCCTTCAATTTTTAAAGAATTATAAATATTAGGCATTTTACTAGGGGGAAAGGATACATCTAAAACAGGGCCAATAATTTGCGTAATACGTCCAGTATTTTGTGTATTTATAGAAAGATTCATAAATAAATAAATAAAATTAGAATTTAGAAGTGAAGTCGAACTTTTTATAAGTTGTTATTGAACAATTTTTTTTTATTATAGTTTATTATAGCAAATAATTTTTTGATAACGCAAAATTTTTTATTTTACGTTATTTTTTTTTTTTATAAAATGTTGCATAAAATAGAATTTATGTTAGAATATGTTGAGGAAATGAGCAAATATTTGGGCTCATCGTCTAATGGATACGACACCAACCTTCTAAGTTGAGAATGAAGGTTCGAATCCTTCTGAGCTCAATAAAAAAAATATATATACATATGGCACGTAAAGCTCTTATACAAAGACAAAAAAAAAGACAATTATTATATGAAAAATATTATTTAAAAAGAAAATCGATTAAAAATAAAATTAGCACCAATACCAAACTTGAGCAAAAATTATACTGGCACTTAAAATTACAAAAGTTGCCCGTAAATTCGAGTAGTGTTCGATTACATAATCGTTGTTTAGTCACGGGTAGACCAAAAGGATTTTTTAGATTTTTTGGGCTTTCTAGACATTTAATTCGAGAGTTTGCGCATCAAGGATTTTTTCCTGGGGTTGTTAAATCTTCCTGGTAAGAAATGCTTTTTTGTAAAATATATAATAAAATTTAAAAGATATTCTAGAAATGGATAAAAACTTAGCTTAATTGTGAGAAAAATAAAAAAAATTAAATATGGGAAAAGTATATGATTGGTTCGAAGAGCGCCTAGAAATTCAATCAATCGCCGATGACATCACCAGTAAGTATGTACCACCACATGTAAATATTTTTTATTGTTTAGGTGGTATCACTTTTACATTATTTTTAGTACAGGTTGCGACAGGCTTCGCAATGACTTTTTATTACCGTCCGACTGTAGCAGAAGCGTTTGAATCTGTACAATATATTATGACCGATGTGAATTTTGGTTGGTTAATACGTTCGATTCATCGTTGGTCTGCGAGTATGATGGTTTTAATGATGGTTTTACATGTTTTCCGTGTGTATTTAACGGGAGGTTTTAAAAAGCCACGTGAATTAACTTGGGTAACAGGAGTTATTATGGCTATTTGTACAGTATCTTTCGGTGTAACAGGTTATTCATTACCATGGGATCAAGTAGGTTATTGGGCCGTGAAAATTGTAACAGGTGTTCCTGATGCGATTCCTTCTATCGGTGGCTTCATTGTAGAATTATTACGAGGAGGTGTCGGTGTTGGTCAAGCTACATTAACTCGTTTTTATAGTTTACATACCTTTTTATTACCTCTTTTAACGGCCGTATTTATGCTGATGCATTTCTTAATGATTCGAAAACAAGGAATTTCAGGACCCCTTTAAATTTTAGCTTTTTTTTAAATTAATTATAAAATTAAAAATATTTATTATGGCAGTAACAAAAAAACCCGATTTATCAGATCCATATTTAAGAGCCAAATTAGCTAAAGGTATGGGCCATAATTATTATGGCGAACCCGCTTGGCCTAATGATTTATTATATATCTTTCCTGTATGCATTTTTGGATCTTTTGCCGCTGTGATTGGTCTTGCTGTTTTAGACCCCGCAGCTATAGGCGAACCAGCAAATCCGTTTGCAACACCACTAGAAATTTTACCAGAATGGTACTTTTATCCAGTTTTCCAAATATTAAGAACCGTACCAAACAAATTATTAGGAGTATTATTAATGACCGCCGTTCCTTTAGGTCTAATTACGGTGCCATTTATAGAAAATATTAATAAATTTCAAAACCCTTTCCGTCGTCCAGTAGCAACAACGGTCTTTTTATTAGGTACCGTTGTGGCCATTTGGTTAGGTATTGGTGCTACATTACCTATTGATATTTCATTAACACTCGGTTTATTTTAATAATAATAATTTTTACCAATTATAGGGAAACTTAATTTCCCCTATAATTGGTAAAAGAATAAGCAATACAGGGGAATCGAACCCCTGCTTTCTGAATGGCAATCAGACGGGCTACCATTACACTAGTATTGCAGACTGTTGTATATTACTTTTTTAACCTAAACTCTTATGGGTTACCTGGGACTCGAACCCAGAGCTTATCGGTTAAAAGCCGAGTACTCTACCATTGAGTTAGTAACCCAAGGTCGCTTATGGTTTAGTTATTTTGTACTATAATTCTAAAGTATTCATCAATAAAAGTAAAGGTTTTTATGTAATCATAAAAAATATTTATTTTTATTGACGTTTTTTATATTTTTCTTTAATATAGATCAATAGTTTTATCAATGTTTTAAAAATTTCCCATATGTCCCGTTATCGAGGTCCAAAATTAAAAATCATTCGTCGATTAGGTGTATTACCAGGATTAACTTCAAAAGTTTCTAATAAAAAAAACCCCCCTGGTCAACATGGTCGCCAGAATACAAAACCATCTCAATACGCTATTCGCCTATTAGAAAAGCAAAAATTACGTTATAATTATGGCGTTAGTGAAAAACAATTGTTTTCCTATTTAAAAAAAGCGCGAAAAAACTCTCGTTCAACGGCTCAAGTTTTATTAGAATTATTAGAAATGCGATTAGATAATATTCTTTATCGATTGGGCTTTGCAAAAACAATTAATTCAGGACGTCAATTAATCACCCATCAACATATTAGAGTGAATCAAAAGAAAGTTACAATCCCAAGCTATCAATGTAAAATTAATGATATCATTGAATTTTCACCAAATTCAATGATACCTAAAAAAAATATGATGAATTTAGATTTATCAAAAATCCCATCCTTTTTATCTATTGAGAGCACTAAAATGTCAGCTCAAATCAAAAACATAATTCCGAGATCAGATGTACTTCTCGAGTTAAATGAACTATTAGTTATTGAATATTATTCAAAAACATAAAGCAAACGAACGGCTCTATTTTTTAGTTATTAAAAATAATTAAAAGATAGAGTTTATAGGAACCTAATCTTTGGAGAAATGGCTGAGTGGTTGAAAGCGACCGATTGCTAATCTGTTGTATTATTTTTTATAATACCGAGGGTTCAAATCCCTCTTTCTCCGTTTATTTTATTACTTAATTTTTTTTTTGATAGAATTTTGGAGATAAGCGGACTCGAACCGCTGACATCTGCCTTGCAAAAGCAGCGCTACTACCAACTGAGCTATATCCCCTTCTAATGACTTTGGGCTATGCTGGACTTGAACCAGCGACCTCTGTCTTATCAGGACAGCGCTCTAACCACCTGAGCTAATAGCCCTTAAACGTAAGATTTTTAGATGTAGCCAACATCATTATAATTTTTTATCTAAACTTGTCAAGTTGTTTTTTTATAAATAAAAAGTTACAATGCTAAAACTAATATTATAGAATTATTTTTTTATTGATATGCCTATAGGAGTTCCTAAAGTACCTTTTCGTTTACCCGGCGAGCCCTCTGCTCAATGGGTCGATTTATATAATCGTTTATATCGAGAACGAGTACTTTTTTTATGCCAAGATTTAGATGATGAGTTGGCCAATCAACTTATCGGGATTATGCTTTATTTAAATGCTGAAGAAAAAGCAAAAGATCTCTATATTTATATTAATTCACCAGGAGGGTCTGTAACTTGTGGAATTGCTGTTTATGATATTATGAATTATATTAAATCAGATGTTACAACGATTTGTGTTGGTACAGCGGCTTCTATGGCCTCTTTTATTTTAGCTGGTGGATGCCGGGGAAAACGTATTGCTTTTCCACATTCACGAATAATGATTCATCAACCTGAAGGAGGAAGTCAAGGTCAAGCATCAGAAGTGTTATCTGAGTCCGAAGAAGTTATGCGAATTCGTCGTCAGGTTGGTCAAATTTATGCCGAACGAACGGGTCAAACCTTAAGTAGAATTTCACGGGATATGGATAGAGATCAATTTTTGTCTGCTCAAGAAGCTAAAAAATATGGACTTGTAGATCATCTACCGTCTTCGTATTTTAATAATTAAAAACAATAGCTGAGCTATTGTTTTTAATTATTAAAATATGCATAAAGATTTTTCAATCCTAAATGGCAATTTTTAATCTTAATGATTTTCCAATTTGATTTCTTAAAAAATAGAGTTTCGATTTTTTCATTTTTGTAAATTTTACGGGTTTTATAAAGGCTATTTGTGGAGAATTTAAAGGAAAAACTCTTTCGATTCCTATTTTTTGAAAAATTTTTCGAACTCGAATTGTTTGATCCATTCCATGACCTTTAACAGCGATAACAAACCCTTTGTATTTCTGTACTCGATATTTTTCGCCTTCTCGAATTTTTAATCCGATTTCAATTAAACTCCCAACACGAATCTTTTGATCTTGTTTTTTTTCAAATTTTTTGAGAATTGTTGTTTTAAACATTTATTTGATTCTAACTGGACGATTAAAATTAATCTAAAATAGTGGATACAACTCCTGCACCCACCGTTCTTCCTCCTTCTCTTATAGCAAATCGCATACCTTTTTCAATAGCTATAGGCTGAATCAGCTCGACATTCATTTTGATACGATCGCCAGGCATCACCATTTTAATTTCCACATTATCATCAGATTGAAAAGAATTAATCTTACCTGTAACATCCGTCGTACGAACATAAAATTGTGGGCGATAGCCAGCAAAAAAGGAAGTATGTCGCCCACCTTCTTCTTTTTTTAAAATATAAACTTGAGCTTCAAATTGCTTATGTGGTTTAATGGATCCGGGTTTTGCAAGCACCATTCCACGCTCAACTTCTTCTTTTTGAATTCCACGCAGTAAGACTCCCACATTATCACCTGCCACACTTTTTTCTAATGTTTTTTGAAACATTTCTAAACCTGTTATTGTAGCTTGTTTTGTTTCTTTCAATCCTACAATTTCAATATTATCCCCAACCTGTACAGCCCCACGCTCTACTCGACCGGTTGTTACGGTTCCTCGACCTGTAATAGAAACGACATTCTCAATGGCCATTAAAAAAGGTTTATCCGTATCTCGAGTTGGAAGTGGGATATAATTATCAACTTCATTCATTAAATCGTAAATTTTTTTAACCCACGGATCCTCAGTTCGATTCGTATCTGGATTTTCTGTAAGTGCCTCTAACGCAAGCAGTGCAGATCCTGAAGTTATTGGGATATCATCACCCGGAAATTCATATTCATTTAAAGTTTCACGCACCTCTAATTCTACTAATTCTAAAAGTTCTTCATCATCAACCTGGTCAGCTTTATTTAAAAAAACAACAATAGAAGGTACCCCAACTTGCTTTGCTAATAAAATATGTTCTTTTGTTTGTGGCATTGGACCATCCGCACCAGAAACAACAAGAATTGCGCCATCCATTTGAGCCGCTCCAGTAATCATATTTTTAACATAATCAGCATGTCCAGGGCAATCTACATGCGCATAATGTCGATTTTCTGTTTCATATTCTACATGAGCTGTATTTATTGTTATTCCTCTTGCTTTTTCTTCTGGAGCTGAATCAATATCATTGTAATCTTTTGGTTTTGCTTGACCTACCGCGGCTAACGCCATAGTAATTGCTGCAGTTAAAGTTGTTTTTCCGTGATCGACATGTCCAATTGTTCCAATATTTAAATGAGGTTTCGTTCTCTCAAATTTTTCACGTGCCATTTTAATATAATTTAATATTTAATTTAATTTTAATTATAGCCTGATACCGGAGTCGAACCGACAACCCTCGGTTTACAAGACCGATGCTCTACCAATTGAGCTAAACAGGCATTTTGCGTTGATTTAAAATACGACTCCAGTTTAATGAAATTGTTTACAGGAAGCAAGTTTCAGAACCATTTTTACAGGAATAATAAAATTATTGGATTTGAAAATACTTTTCTGTATATAATATATGGGAGAATTTTTTATCACCTTAAAAAAATAAATTATGTCTATACTATCCTGGATTGAAGATCAACGTAAAATTAAAATGTTAAATTATAATAAAGCGACAAAAGATGATCGATTATGGACCCGTTGTGATAAATGTGGAACGATTTTATATATTAAACATCTTAAAGAAAATCAGCGTGTATGCTTTTCCTGTGGTTATCATTTACAAATGAATAGTCGTGAAAGGATTCAAAGTTTAGTAGATTATGGCTCATGGCAACCTTTAAATGAAACGTTATCCCCATGTGATCCTTTAGTTTTTAAAGATCAAAAAATTTATAAAGAAAGATTAAAAGAAGCACAAGAAAGAACAGGATTACAAGATGCTATTTTAACAGGTACTGGATTAATTGATGGTATACCCGTAGCTTTAGGGGTTATGGACTTTAATTTTATGGGAGGAAGTATGGGAAGTGTTGTTGGAGAAAAAATTGTTCGTCTTGTAGAATATGCCACACAAGAAGGATTAATATTAATTTTAATTTGTGCTTCTGGAGGTGCCAGAATGCAGGAAGGTATTTTTAGCTTAATGCAAATGGCCAAAATTTCATCGGCATTAAAATTTTATCAAAGTTCAGCAAATTTATTATATATCTCGTTATTGACCTCTCCAACAACCGGCGGGGTGACCGCCAGTTTTGCAATGCTTGGGGATTTAATTTTTGCTGAACCGAATGCATTAATAGGTTTTGCAGGTCGTCGTGTTATTGAACAAACATTACAAGAAAAACTTCCAGAAAATTTTCAAACTTCTGAATATTTATTGGATCATGGATTACTTGATTTAATTATTCCTCGATCTTTTTTAAAGCAAGCATTATCCGAAACCATTAGTTTTTACAAAGATGCCCCTTTTAGAAAAAATGGGGAAATTTTAGCTGGATTTTCCAATTCATTAAATTTATTAACAGAAGAAAAAGTGCGTAGATTATTAAAAACAGATATATCATTAAATTCCTCTAAAAAAATTTCAAATTTACAGGAAAAAATGAAAGAAAAACTTCCATTATATGATATTAAATATTATAATAAAATCTTATTTTCTCAAAATATTTAATGGCACTTTTTCTAATTGTTGATTTTTATTCTAAATTATTTTATATTATTAGACAATAATCTTTATTTTTTCCCCACGGTGGAAAAATTTTTTTAATTCTATTTATAAATTTTTATAAAATTATGTCTGGTACTACAGGAGAACGTCCATTTTCAGATATTTTAACAAGTATTCGTTACTGGGTTATTCATAGTATTACTATTCCGTCTTTATTTATTGCTGGTTGGTTATTTGTTAGTACAGGATTAGCGTATGATGTTTTTGGAAGTCCGCGTCCAAATGAATACTTTACAGAAGATCGCCAACAAGCACCTTTAATTACAGATCGTTTTAATGCATTAGAACAAGTCAAATCTTTATCTGAAATTTAATTTGTATATCGATTTATTATAATATATACTATGGCATCTAAAAAATCATCTTACACTTATCCTATTTTCACCGTTCGTTGGTTAGCCGTCCACGGTTTAGCTGTACCTACAATTTTTTTCCTAGGCTCAATTACTGCAATGCAGTTTATTCAACGTTAATCGCGTTTCTATATATTTTGTTTAACTATTAAATAAATTTCAATTATCTTAATATAGATTATTTAATTTTTTTATTCTACTATGGCAAAACCAAATCCAAATAAACAAACTGTTGAATTAAATCGAACGAGTTTATACTGGGGATTATTATTAATTTTTGTTTTAGCAGTTTTATTTTCAAGTTATATTTTTAATTAATTAAAGGGATTCGTAAAATTTCCATCAAAATCGTGTAAAAATTCGCTCGTTTAAGATTTGTCTGTATAGGCTAAAATGATTTAAATATATAGTATACTCGCAATTCTTAAAAAATAAAAACTAATTATTAACTTAATTTATTTATAGGGGGTTATTAAATGTCAAACACAGGAACGACTGGTCGTATCCCATTATGGTTAGTGGGAACACTTGTAGGAACCGTTGCTTTAGGTTTAGTTGGAATTTTTTTCTATGGTTCTTATGTAGGTTTAGGATCATCATTATAGAAAAGCAATTGAATCATTTATTGCTTATTTCCTAAAAAATTATTATAGATGGATTTTTCTAGTATTGAATCAGCGAAGCCTTCGAAGGCTTCGCTGATTCAATTTTTTATAAGAAAAAAATAAACCCCTAGACTCAAGAATAATGCATACTAATCTTTTAGTTATTTAACGGTTTTTCAGGATTAAAAAAGAAAGGCTGACTGGGTTGACAAACCTTTTTGGAAGTTTTAACATAACTTCTGGAATCAATAAAATTTAATTTATACTTTAAGTTATAAAAATAAAATGGAGAGTTTGATCCTGGCTCAGGATGAACGCTGGCGGTATGCTTAACACATGCAAGTTGAACGAATTTAACTTTTTTTCGAAAAAGAAAAATTAGTAGCGAACGGGTGAGTAACGCGTAAGAATCTACATTTAGGTAAGGAATAACAATTGGAAACGATTGCTAATACTTTATAAGCTGAGAAGTGAAAGGTTTATCCGCCTAAAAATGAGCTTGCGTCTGATTAGCTAGTTGGTGAGGTAATGGCTTACCAAGGCCTCGATCAGTAGTTGGTCTGAGAGGATGATCAACCACACTGGGACTGAGATACGGCCCAGACCTCTACGGAGGGCAGCAGTGAGGAATTTTCCGCAATGGGCGAAAGCCTGACGGAGCAATACCGCGTGAAGGATGACGGCCTGTGGGTTGTAAACTTCTTTTCTTGAGGAAGAATTTTGACGGTACTTAAGGAATAAGCATCGGCTAACTCCGTGCCAGCAGCCGCGGTAATACGGAGGATGCAAGCGTTATCCGAAATTATTGGGCGTAAAGCGTTTGTAGGTGGCTTTTTAAGTCTACTGTTAAATATCAGAGCTTAACTTTGAGCAAGCAGTATGAAACTAAGAAGCTTGAGTTTGGTAGAGGCAGAGGGAACTCCCGGTGTAGTGGTGAAATGCGTAGAGATCGGGAAGAACACCAGTGGCGAAAGCGCTCTGCTGGGCCAATACTGACACTGAGAAACGAAAGCTAGGGGAGCAAATAGGATTAGATACCCTAGTAGTCCTAGCTGTAAACGATGGATACTAAGTGTTGGGCTTTTAAAGTTCAGTGCTGTAGCTAACGCGTTAAGTATCCCGCCTGGGGAGTATGCTCGCAAGAGTGAAACTCAAAGGAATTGACGGGGGCCCGCACAAGCGGTGGAGCATGTGGTTTAATTCGATGCAACGCGAAGAACCTTACCAGGAATTGACATACCCGTTGACTTTTTAGAAATAAAAAGTTGTAAAGGGATACAGGTGGTGCATGGCTGTCGTCAGCTCGTGTCGTGAGATGTTGGGTTAAGTCCCGCAACGAGCGCAACCCTTGTCTTTAGTTAACTTTTCTAGAGAAACTGCCGGTGATAAACCGGAGGAAGGTGAGGATGACGTCAAGTCAGCATGCCCCTTAAGTCCTGGGCGACACACGTGCTACAATGGTGTAGACAAAGAGATGCGATCCTGCGAAGGTCAGCCAACCTCAAAAACTACATCTAAGTTCGGATTGTAGGCTGCAACTCGCCTACATGAAGTCGGAATCGCTAGTAATCGCAGGTCAGCCATACTGCGGTGAATACGTTCTCGGGCCTTGTACACACCGCCCATCACGCTCGAGAAGTTGGAAATGCCCGAAGTCACGCCTCTAACCTTAGGGAGGAGAGTGCCGAAGGCAGAGCTAGTAACTCAAGCGAAGTTGTAACAAGGTAACCGTACTGGAAGGTGCGGTTGGATCACCTCCTTATAAGGAATAAATATAGAAAATAAATAGTTTTTAAAAACTATTTATTTTCTATAGTTTAAAAGTCAGAATAAATACTGATTATATGATACATAAATTAACGGAAAATTTTGCTAATTAATTAAAACTTATAAATCATCTAAAAATCGCTTATTTTTTAATTGTGGATAAAAATTTTTCTAAATTTGATTATATAATTGTTTTGGTTTCTGAGTAAGGGTTGTTGATAAATAATTGGGTGCTCCGGCACCCAATTATTTATAGATTAATAGAAAAAATTCAAAAATTTTTTTAATTAAGTGAATATAAACTAAAAAAATAATTAATAAAATAGTTTAAAATTTGAGCAATTAGAATGTTTAAAAGGAGAATTTATATTTGAATTTAAAATATACTTGCTTAGAATCTTTACTAGTGGTATTGTTGTATATGATAATCTAAATCTTAAATTTAAATATTTAAGTGTAAAATTTCATTTAATATTGCTAGATATCCAAACGAATTCTGAACATAATTCGAATTTTAATAAAAAAACTGAATAAAAATTTTTTAAAGTATATGCGGATTGTTTTAGGTATAAAAAAAAAACCAAACCGATGTTATCAGAAGATTAAAAATCAATTATTTGTTAAAAAGAATGTAAAAACACTCAATTTGAAAACTATTTGTGCACACTCCGAGTTTGTTATTTGTATTCAAGATAAACATTTAATGACCATTTATTTATACTATTTTATAACCCAATCGATGATTCGTATTTATAAATTTTTGGATACATGGTCAAAGTGTTGTCATCAATACGGGCAATTGGGTATTTTATGGAAAAATTCAAAACACCAAAAAGCTAAAACAACCGATAGTTTTTTTTATGAATTTGATAATTCTCACCTTTACTTAAGTAAAGGTACAGTACTTTGGCATTTTATTATTTCGACTAAAGCTTTGCGATTTTTAAAAAGTAACCTATTAAAAATCTTATCAAAAATTAAGTCGGTACGAGGTTCTCGCTATTCGAATTTCTATTTAGGCATAATTTTTGTGCAAATTTTTACTCTAATACATTCTCCTTTAAATATTTTAGTTACAAATTTTCAAGCACGGATGTTTTTTATGCTGTACGAGCCAACTTCAAAAGCTATTTATAAAAATTTTTTATCGGTTTTAATAACTGGAAAACTATTTGAAATATTTTTTGATCATTTATGGAAAATTCTTCAACTATTTGAATATCGAGTTTCGAAATTTTATTCTATCAGTAAAAAAACCTCATTATTGATCAATTTATTAATACTTGCTCTAATTCTACTTGTTACAAGTGTCATTTTGACTCATAGTTATATTCTTCCAGATCTTGTTTATTTAAAATGGATTTGGAATATTCCCACTTATCGTATTTTAATGATTACTAGTATTTTCTTTTTTGAAAATTCCTTTGTACAATGTTTTTTACAATGTTGGTTCTTTTCAAATACCGCTCATATTTTTAATTGTTTTCAACATACTACAGAACTTTCGGAATGCCCAATGATATACCAATGTTTGAAGATTTTGAATATATCTACATTTATAATATTTTTTTTTATTTGTGAATTTACTAAAGATAGCGCGTTTTCATCCGAAGTTTTATGGGTTGAAAATAAACGGATATATGAGCGATGGAGAAATGCGCAATCGAATTCTAATACTCTAAAAGAATATATAAACTTAAAATTTCAATAAATTTTATAAAATTGAAAAACCTAGTCATTGTTTCATGGTTGAATCGGAGTTCAAGAATGGACTCTTTAGCTGTCTAACTTTTAATAATCATATTTAAAAATTTATCAAATCTATATGAAGTTTGAATATATTGTAAATACGGGTTTAGATATGTGTAAGATGCGTACCTTTAAATGGTTCGAAAAAAAATTTTAATTTAAACCGATTCAGCAGTCCTCGCTTAATTTAAAGTGTCTATTTAAACTGGCGAGGGATCGCTTTTTTAAGTATAATCAAAATCAGTGAATTGTTAATTAAATTTAAATAAACTTATAAAAAAATTATTCGTTTTTATAGAAAATACTAGATACAATATCTAGTATTTTCTATAAAATTAATCTAAAGGTTTTAAAGATAATACAGGTTCGTTATCACGATCAATACCTTTTTCAAAACCGGCGGCTGCTGCACGAGCTCGTCCAGCATGCCATAAGTGACCTACAAAGAACATGAAACCTAAACTGAAGTGTGAAGTGGCTAACCAACTTCGTGGACTCACGAAGTTTACAGCATTAATTTCTGTTGCTACACCACCTACAGAGTTTAAGGATCCTAAAGGCGCATGTGTCATATATTCAGCAGCACGTCTTTCTTGCCAAGGCTGAATATCATTTTTTAATTTATTTAAGTCTAAACCATTTGGACCACGTAAAGGCTCTAACCATGGACCTCGGAAATCCCAAAATCTCATTGTTTCCCCACCAAAAATGATTTCTCCTGTAGGAGAACGCATTAAATATTTACCCAGACCTGTAGGACCTTGTGCCGAAGCCACATTAGCTCCTAATCGCTGATCTCGAACTAAAAATGTAAATGCTTGTGCTTGTGAAGCTTCTGGACCTGTAGGACCATAAAACTCACTAGGATATGCTGTGTTATTAAACCAAGACATACAACAAGCAATGAAGCCCATTAACGAAATGGCAGCTAAACTATATGATAAATAAGCTTCCCCTGACCATACAAAAGCACGTCGAGCCCATGCCCAAGGTTTTGTTAAAATATGCCATATACCACCAAAAATATTTAGTGTGCCAATCCAAATATGACCCCCTATAATATCTTCCATGTTATCTACACTTACAATCCAACCATCTCCACCAAACGGTGATTTTAGAATATAACCAAAAACAACCGCTGGACTCACTGTGGGATTCGTTATTAAACGAACATCTCCACCACCTGGAGCCCAAGTATCATAAACACCACCAAAATATAGAGCTTTCCATACTAGTAACCAAGCTCCAATACCTAAAATGATTAAATGAATTCCTAAAATTGTTGTCATTTTATTTTTATCTTTCCAAACATAACCAAAGAAAGGAAAAGATTCTTCTAAAGTTTCAGGACCAATTAGTGAATGATAAACACCACCAAAACCTAAAACGGCAGAAGAAATTAAATGTAAAACACCAGAAACAAAATATGGAAAGGTATCTACAACTTCTCCACCTGGTCCAATTCCATAACCTAAACCAGCTAAATGTGGAAGTAGAATTAAACCTTGTTCATACATAGGTTTTTCTGGTACAAAATGAGCAACTTCAAAAAGATTCATTGCTCCAGCCCAAAAAACAATTAAACCAGCATGAGCTACGTGAGCTCCTAAAAGTTTTCCAGATAAATTGATTAAACGAGCATTACCAGCCCACCAAGCAAATCCAGTAGATTCTTGATCTCGACCACCAACTGTTAATGTTCCATTAAAGAGCGTTTCCACGTGGTAATACCTCCTCTGGGAATACTAATTTTTCATGCGGCTGATCTTGTGCAGCCATCCATGCACGGATACCTTCATTTAGAAGAATATTTTTTGTATAGAAAGTTTCAAATTCTGGATCTTCTGCAGCACGGATTTCCTGTGATACAAAATCATAAGCTCGTAAATTTAAAGCTAGACCTAATACCCCAATAGCACTCATCCATAAACCTGTTACAGGTACAAAAAGCATAAAGAAGTGTAACCAACGTTTATTTGAAAAAGCTACTCCAAAAATTTGAGACCAAAAACGATTGGCTGTAACCATTGAGTAAGTTTCTTCTGCTTGTGTTGGATTAAATGCTCGGAATGTATTTGCACCATCTCCATCTTCGAATAAAGTATTTTCAACAGTGGCACCATGAATAGCACATAATAATGCGGCTCCTAAAACACCTGCCACACCCATCATATGGAATGGATTTAGTGTCCAGTTATGAAATCCTTGGAAGAATAAAATAAAACGAAAAATAGCAGCAACCCCAAAACTTGGTGCGAAAAACCAACCTTGTTGTCCTAATGGATAAATTAAGAAAACAGAAACAAATACGGAAATTGGTGCTGAAAAAGCAATAGCATTATACGGGCGAAGTTTTAAAGAACGTGCAATTTCAAATTGACGTAACATGAAACCAATTAATGCAAATGAACCATGTAATGCTACGAACGGCCATAAGCCTCCTAATTGGAACCAACGTGTAAAATCTGCTTGTGCTTCAGGACCCCATAATAATAGTAAAGAGTGACCCATACTGTTAGCTGGAGTTGATACAGCTACTGTTAAGAAGTTACAACCCTCTAAAAAAGAACTTGCTAAACCATGCGTATACCAAGATGTTACAAATGTAATACCTGTCAACCAACCACCAAGTGCTAAATAAGCACATGGGAATAATAAAAGACCTGACCATCCTACGAAAACAAAACGATCACGTCTTAACCAGTCATCTACAAGATCGAACCAACCTCTCTCTGTTTGAGATTTTCCTAGTGCGATTGTCATAATTATATATTTAAATAATTTTTCTAGTTTGTAATTTTTTTACAAAACTTTGCTAAAAATTAAACCTTTATTTTGGATATAAGCTCCAACTTATTAACTAAAATAATTATAAGAGTTTTTTAATAAAATTAACGTTACTATTTTTAAATAAATTATCATTTATAAACGATATTTCATTATTTGAAAATGATTTTTTACTATATTTTAAAAATTGTTTAATAAAAAATTTTTTAATAATGTTAGGCATTAAAAAATAAAGATTTTGTTTTGAATAGAGAAAAAAGAATAACTGTTTGCTAACATATTCAAAATAAGAAAGATATTCTGTTGTCAAAAAGTTAATTTTAGTAATTTTTAATTCAATTTTTTGATCAAAAAAATATTTTAAAAATGGAAATAGAAAAAAGCGAATCCGATTTCTTGAGAAAAAAATAACTCGATTTGTAGAATCTATAGAGATGGGAAACTCTAAAAAAATAATCC